AAGCGGGTTAGGTACTTAAGCGGGTAAGATAAAAATCTTTTTTTTTTTAAGAAAAAAATTAAAAAATAATAATTTTAATAAAAAATAATAACATTTGTAAAACCTGAAGGGGAAGTTAACGAAAACATTCCTTAAAAATATAAAATAGTAAGGATCCGCAACGGTACATCCGCAACGAACATGTCAAATGATTTTAAAGTTAACCCAACCTTTAGTTTGCTGTTACAATACACACATTTTGTATACTTAGTTATTTTCTCTTCAAATTATCCTTGTCGATAGTGCTCTTCCATGCATGAAAGTTTCGGAAATCTTTTGACTTCGATGATCATCTGAAAATTGCTTCCTTTTGAATAACGCCCGAATGCAAATTTCGGGGGCAAATACAGTATTGCCTTCCCATTACCCGTAAGCAATTTGTAATTTGAAACGCCAGAATATGCCCATACACATATGATATACTAATTTAATTTTGTGCCATAGTCCGAAAAAAGATAAACAGAAGGATACATATGCTGTGGTTCCGTAGACAATGATCGGGATTCGGATAAAAAATTTGCACTCAAATGCAACAACAACGATATGATCCTGATAAAAATCTGGTTCAATTTATGATCCGATCTTTTTGGTTTGTTTCACTGATAATATGGCAGTACGGTTTGGTAGCACTGACAAATGAATGTACATGTACACAAACATATATTCTGCCATTGCTTTTTTAACTTGTTTAAGTGACTATTATTTCGTTTTAATATACTTCTCCCCATTTGGTGAGTTCATTTTTATAATTTCGTCTTCCTCGTGCTAGTAGTATAAAATTAGTGAGCCAGACCGTTTCCGTGACAAATGATAGTGATACTGAACTGGATAACCCAACTAAACTCAACTATGGTGTGCGTTTAAATGATATATTCTTGGTCTGTTTGTACCTCTTTTTGGAGTGGATACTTTTCCATAAATCTTTCATTCTTTTTGGATACTTTTATTGTCAGAGCCGCGGCTATACTACTCCCTATTTAGGTATGTGATTAAAAGTGTGAGGCAACAAAGCATACGCCTCTCGTACATCGTGTGCAGACGGCGCACATAATGTTAAAGTGACGATTTAGCTGGACAAAAATCTAAAATTGCGATGATGTTTAACATCTATAAGAATACTTATGAACGTTCCTTAATGTTTGACCAACTAAGGGACAGTATTAGTTATGAATAATGTGACCAACCGTGCTTCTTTCGAAAGTACATTACTTCTTTTTTAGCTCTTGTACTTCGTACTTCTAAGTACAGTCAAATGTACTTCTTTACAATATTTTGTACTTCAGGTCCTGTAGTTCTCCGATTTTCTAGACGATCGTAACATGGCTTGGGCGATAAATTCGTTCAAACCATTTAAGTCGCCGGAGACCAATTGCAACATACTTGCGAACTGCGTGAGGACCGGGTACATCCCCAAGGCTTGGAGGGTAGTTAGTGTTGCGTTCATTCTGACGGCCGGAAAGGCTTTCCTGGTTCTCCTAGGGATTTTAGGCCTTTCAGTCTGTCTTCGTTTTTGCTAAAACCGTAAGAAAGGAAAGGCGCTAATGTTTCTCCTAGGGATTTTAAGCCTTTAAGTCTGTCTTCGTTTTTGCTAAAACCGCAAGATAGATGGATAGACCTGTACATGGTTAAAAATTTCGGTTTCAATTTTAAACTTTTTGGACTACAGCCACGCATGTAAATGTGCTTTCATATGTTGAGTTTGAATCAACACCACATTGCGCTGTGTGCAAACATTTTCTATTTCGGTTTAGATTTAAACCAAATTTTCTATATATGAAGTCTAGAAACTTGAATTAAAACATTTTGGTTTGATTTTTGAACCACGAACTTTTTGGACTAAAATTTAAACCTTTTATTAAAAATTGCTTAAAACTATTGACTGGTTTGAAAAGTAGACTATAAAAGATTAAAAAAGGCAGTAGTCCCAGCGCAGTTTAAAAATTAAACCCAAATTTTTGACCGTGTACATAAGAAACACAATTCCTCGTGACTATCTTTCAAGAGCTCAACATGCTATTGCAAGGTCGGTGGATACCACTCTCCACATATTGCTAAAGTGGTCATAGGAAGCCTTCACGCATTAGGGGCCTTCTTCGATATCGAGGGAGCCTCAACAATGTCACTCCAGAGGCAATAGGCAATTCTATTCATAATATCGGGGTTGAAACCAGCCTAAGGGAACATACCCATACTACGTGACCCACTTTTGGCAATGTTTATCCCCCCGCCCCCCTCGGTGACCTCGCGTAATATATTTCAAGACCCGCCCTGAGCACATAGATTACAGCGCCTCCGAAATCTCTGTCAGAAGCTCTCTATACCTATATTCCCTCAAGAGAGGACTGCGTAGGGCGGGGTTGCTAAGGCTCCGGACTTATGCAATGTCTTTCGGGTGGAAATAGCTGCCATCAAGGAAGCGGTACACTCACTGCTAAAGGGTATGATGATGCGTTAGAATTCGGTAAAGGAATATCTGACTTCTTTATCCATCGTGTCAGAATACTTCTTAGGTACTTCTTCTAGTTTAGGAGCCGGGACACAGTGACATCGCGGAAAACTGCGTGGCTGGCTGATAACCTGGCATTGGAAAAGCACTCTTAACACGTTATCCCCAGATAAGTAGCAACTAGGGACGCCTCTTTCCTCCTGCGGTACACTCTTGGATGGTTGGGTCTAGTGTGTGCTCGGTGAGCGCGAGACTAACATGTATACTTCGTACTCGCATATTTTATTACATACATAATAAAATAAACAAACGAGGACAAGAAGACGTTTCTCCGCTGCAAAAAATGTTTTTATAAGACACTTTAAAATACTAACGAGTGACCCATCGATACTCCTTAAAGGTGCCGAATACCACGTCACCCCTCAAGAGCTAGCGATGGGGGTTCTGACAGGCCATTACGCGATTGATATTCACTCGGTAAGACTAGGAATTTCAACTAATTCCATTTGTATCAGCTGTCAAGAGGAAGATGAAGCGAAATCATCTCCACACTTTTTTTAGACTGTCCAACCTTCGCGAGGCTAAGATGGAAGGATTTTGGCTCGCTGTTCTTAACTAACACTGAGCTCTCAGGGATTGAAATTAGCCGCATTCGAAATTTGGTAATCGGCTCGCGGCGTTAATCTAACTCAACCTAACCTGTATTTCTGCTATGAAATAGTTGGTCACATTAGTTAGGAAGCAACGTTTTGCATTATGTTACTAGAGTACCCGTAACTTGCCAAATGCATATCGTTGGCATAGGCACCTCAATCGGTCATACGCGGTAGTCCTGTATTAATTATAGTCTGTGTAAAAGTAACTTTTTAAAATTATTTTTATATTAAAGAAGGATTATTTACAAGTAAGTTTTTATTTTTTCATTAGTTTACGTGTAACAGTTTTAAAATTGTAGTTATTTAACAGGGTTATATAAAATTAGAAAATAATTATACCGTAGATGATAAAAAAGTACCCCGGAGTACCCTCATTTGATTTTTATAAAAATGTATTTATTTATTTATTTACTAAAAGGGAATATAATTATAAATAATTATACTACCTACGAATATAACAGCACTAGCTACAGGGCCTTCGGATGTGGGCTAATATTAATCTATAAATTGTAACATAAGTATATAATTGCGTGAATGTCTTTTTACAGTACAAGAATGTGTATAAACATATTTGGAAAGTAACACTCTATTTAAGATAAGATGCTTTAATTGAGCTTTGCAAATAAATTTGTATATTTTTCTTATATTATCTGTTGTCAGTTCTTTGAGAAGTTTGGAAGGGCTAGAAGAAAAGTATTCATCCCTGAATGCGCGGAAGGCAGAGCATTGATCCAAAATATGTTCTGTAGACGTAGTTGTACCATTGCAGAAACGGCATCCAGTGGTTGCGTTGCGCTGAAGAATGTATTGGTGCGTTAATGTACAATGGCTTAAATGGAGCCGAGTGAAAACTTTGATTTCCGGAATGCTGCAGCTGGAAGGGTATATAGCTTTTTCGCGATCGGGGTTTATGGACCATTAGAGGTGGTTGTAATTATACCATGTAGCCTTTACGTTGTTTTTTGAATAGTTCTTTACGTATCGGATAACGTCATTGTTTTCTATAGTCTTGACGAAGTGACATGGAGCTTGTGTGGTGTCTTTCGCTTCTTTGTCGGCAGATTCATTACCTTGAATTCCGCTGTGGCCGGGAATCCACATTAGGTTTAACTAATTTAGTTTTAGTGGATAGGGATGGGAAGTTGCGGGTGTTTAGTACAGCTGTAATTGTTGCGAGGCTGCCAGTACAAATTACATATTTGCCCTTAGATGACGTGGACCATTGAGCTGCTTATTTTACGGCATATGCTTCAGCAGTATAGACGGAGCAGGGAGACAACAGTAGTCCCTTATTGATGGTTTTTGAGTTATCCAAAACAGCTGCGTTTGCAGTGTTGTGGAGATTTTTTGACCCATCTGTGTAAATAAATTTCCACCCTTCTGACCTAAGTTCGTTTTCGCGGAGCATGAGAAGTTGTCTGAATGCGATACTGTTTGTGGAAGTTTTGTTGAGGCTCATCAATTTGTCTTCTATAACAGAAGGGTCTAGAGCCCATGGTGGATACTTGCTGGTCACCGAAAGTTTCGATTTAAGGTTTATGTCGAGTTTGTTTGCATATTGCAAAATTGTATGTATAGTTGAAGGTTTCTTTAATGTCCGTTTGCGTCGAATGGCTGAACATAAATCTTTGTACAACGCTGGGTTGGAGCCGTGGTATATCTTGGGTATGAGCCGCAGTGTATTATTCTCTAGTTGTTCGTTAATATGTGGCATTCCAGACTCGGCGAGGATGTTTTTGACGTTTGTAGTGGGAAACACTCGTAGACTGCGTCTGATTGCCGTATGGTATGGCGCATAGATTTTTTTTAATTCGCTGCCTGCGTGATGTCCGTAGATTGGAAGTCCATAGTCGATAACAGATAATAATAGTGATCTCGCAATATTGATAAGTGTGTTTGGCTGAATAAATGATATGATATTTAGCCTTTTAAGGTGCTTGTTTCTTATATAAAAACAATGATTCTTAAATCTAAACTTAGAATCGAATATAAGTCCTAATATTTTAAGTTCACTTACAGTTGGTATTTTTATATTGTTAAACGAAAAGTTGAAATTGTCACATTGTCTTTTACAACAGATATGTGAGATGCTACATTTCTGTAAGGATAATTTAGCTCCCGAAGTAAGAGACCAATTGAATATATTGTTCAATATTTCAGAGGAAGTTTGTTTAACGTTGGTAAGGTCTAGTTGCCGTGAAAATATTAAGATATCGTCTGCATACATGCAATGCTCAACTGGATATTTGGATAACATTTGGCTGATTTCGTTGAATGCTATTATGAATATGACCACTGATAAGGGGGAGCCTTGGGGGACTCCATTATCAAGTGGTAGGCAGTGGGAAAATATGTTGTGCACTTCAACACGAAACCTTCGGGGGGATAAGAAACCTTTGATAAAAGTATATATCTTTGGACCTGTTTTCCACTTTGCTAATTGTTTTAAAACTATATGAGCTCCGATGCGATCGTAAGCCTTTTCAAAGTCGAGACCCAGGGTTTTTGCTAAACATGAGAGGGGTGAAATAGGCCGAAAACTGGTTATTTCTACAGAAGGTTTACCCGGTTTAGGTATTGGAACGATTTCGGCTATTTTCCAACTTTGAGGGCATATGCCGTCGGAGAGTATTTTGCTATAAAGTACAACAATTCTTTTTTTAAGATCCTCTGGGATATTTTTTAGCATTGCATATGAAGTCCTTTCGAGGCCGGGTGTTTTGCCTTTAGAGTTGAATACTGCGTCATCGAACTCGTCAATGGAGATATGTATCTATTTCTAAGAGTCTGGCCGAATTATTAAGTTCGTCTGGGTGCAAAGTGTAGTTTGGACATTTGTTTTTCTCAGTCACGAACTGATTGTTGAAATTCGAGTCACTGGAGTAGGAACTCCAGTAAGTACCAAACGCGTTTGCAATGCTTTTTGGGTCGTTGATGATGCCACTTTGGGTGTTTAAGCAATTAATTATTTTCTGTTTTTTTGTGCCACACAGACATCTTATGTCCTGCCAAATTTGTTGGGAAGTGGATTTCGGGTTAATGTTGCTGGTAAACTTTTCCTGACTATTTTTTTTTTCTTTTTGGTTTCACGTTTGAACATGGCATTGTCGCGTTTATAAGCTAAAAGATCTAATAAGTTGCGCGTTCTTTTAAATTTATGCCAGCTTTCTTGTTTTAGCGTTCTTCACTTTTCTAAGTCACTATTCCACCATGGATTATACCGACGCTGACATGTGTTTTTTGTTTGAGGAATGGAGGAGCGAGCTGCTGAACAAATGGTTTTTCGAATGAGAGCTGCCTCTTGGTTAGTATTATTGGAAACAACATATTTTGCAGATAGTTCAGAGCAGAGTACTTTATAGTTTCCCCAATTAGCTTTATTTGTTAAAAAAAATGGGCTTGAATTTTTTTCCAGTTGTGTCTGTCTGTCCTGTGATTTCTATTAACAGCGGAAAGTAGTCGCTTCCGTGGAGGTCGTTGAGGGCATTCCATGTACATCTTGGGTAAATATTGGCGGAACATGTAGATACATCTACGTGTGTGAACGTCTGGTGGGTGGAGAAGTGTGTGGGGCTGCCGTCGTTTAAAGCTATAATATTGGTGCTTAGTAAAGCCCAAATTGGGCTCCAGGAATTAAAATCTCCCAACCAAAGCATAGGGTTTTGTGATTTGTTTAGAATGTGAAAAATATCTACACAGGAGAAATGTTGCTTAGGTGGAATGTAGGTGTTAACTAGTGTTATTTTTGATCTTAGAATTATCTCTACTGCAATACTGGGTAAGGAGTCATCGGTAAAAAGTATTTTGTGCGGTATGTCTTTTTTTACCAGAATGGCTACACCTTGTTTGCTGTATTTATTCTGAGGGGGATTAAAAAAGTAGCCGTTATAGCCATTTGGAGGATTCGGATTGAAATTATGGCGATTATGCGTTTCTTGTAAGCATAAAACTGATGGCTTCAGTTCTTTTATAATTAGCTGTATCTAGTGGTAATTATTGAAATATCCGTTGACGTTCCATTGCAGTATAGAAATCATTGGAAAAAGTTTAGCAAGTTGTATTCTAGGGTTATGCTAATGTACGTATATATACACATATATAAATATATATATATACACATATATATAATGTATGAGTAATTAATATTGAGAAGATTGATCGGGTACTGTTTATGAATTTGTACAACGATTTTGGGTTGCTGTGCCCAAACGCGTGAATCGAATCAAAAAACTTGTAGACACACTTGTAGATAACAGTTCACGCTTTCTTACAAAAATTTAATTTACTAAATCTGTGCACTAATTTAACAATAATGTCGGTTCGAAATATGGTATTTGTTGCAAATTTTTATTATAAATTTGTATACCCATTTTTATATACAAGATATTTTTATAAAACACCCAGTAACCAAAATAGACATCACTGGGGCGGAAGTCCCAGGTTTACCACACAGAAAGGGAATTCTAGTTACCTCGTCCTGGTTACATCACTGGGCGGTAGCCCCAGTTATGTCACACAGAAAGGAGAATTCTACGTAGTAAGGGTTATAATCCCCTAAGCGCGGCCGAAGGCCGCCTACGCAGAAAGGTGCTCTCTGCAAAAGGTGTTCACCCCCCTTCTTCGGACGCAAGTTTAACTTTGTTTTTTCCTTGCAAAAAATCTAAAATTCCCCTATTTTCAAACAGCTCCACAGAGGTCTGTGGGAGGGGTTGGTGGGGAGGGGTAACTTTTCATAAAGCGGCGTCAATCCTCTTTCGTTTAGGGGAGATTTGTGGGGCCCACACCCCGTCCCCCTCCGCCCGCGCCCCTAAATCGTTGTACAAATAGCTAAACATTTCCCGATTGATCTTCTAATGAGAAGGAGTGAAGGTTGTTAGAAAGAGAAGTGGGACTGGAAAATCTAAAATTGTTTGTATCAATAGAGTTTTGAGTTTTTTCGATTTCCATATTTTCTATGTTGTTCATTGTTGAGTAGTTTGAAGGCAGAAAGTGGTTTTCGTTAGTCGAGCTATTTGCGGTATTATTGTTTTCGAGTTGATTGTTGTTTTGAGAAGATATTTCAATATTGTCCTGAGCAGGTAGTAAGTTTTGATACCGAGTGATATGTTGCGACAGAAGGTCACACAAGAAATTGTCACTGATTGTGTTTTGTTCTCTGGTTTGTGGAAGAATAAATGCTGTTGTTGTTGTTGATCGAGTGGTCTTTTTTGATTTCCGTTTTGTGCAGTTTGCGTTGAATGTTGTTTTTGGCAATTCCTTATGGTTTGGTTTCTAATAAGAGAGGAGAAAGAAGGGCCACCGACAATTAAAGGAATTTGATTTTTGTATAGATTTATTGCTTCTTTCATTGTACATTTGTTTTGTACTTGCAGTTTTAAAATCTCTCTTGATTGTAGAAACTTTGGACAAGATCTGTCAGAAGAGGGATGCTCTCCTGAGCAGTTTGCACACAGTGTACGAGTGCATATGTCTGGGGTGTGAGGAGGTAAATTGCATTGATCACACGTTTTTGGGTTGCTGCAGCGTTTCGCTGTATGATTTAGCATCGCGTTGGGCTAGGAAAATATGGTCTGACCAAGACTGAATGCCATGTGACATCCACGCGGTTGGGAAGATGGTACTTATCAAAAGTGAGGAGACATACCCCGGTATGTTTTGGTTTTCCGTCTATAATTTTTGCAAACTTATACACTTCTACAACTCCATGGTCAGATAGGTTTTTAACAATTTCGTCTTCACTGAGATCGATTAAGCATGGGGCATATATTGTGCCTTTAGTGTAGTTTAGTTTGTCGTGATACGTTGTATTCTCTTCGCAGACACCGTGTAAAAACTTAGTACGATTGAACTTTTCAGCAGTCAGTTTGTCTTTTAATAATAGGCACAGACTGCCATCACGTAATTCGGTAATTTTGATAATATCCTTATACCATGTCCCCACCAAAAAGTTAACCATCTCAAATCGAACTTAACCACCTCACTAACTATTGCTGTCCACACTGCGGTTTAAGGTTTATAAAACAGTACAAATGTAAAGAATAGTGTTCGGCCTTCCAAAAATCTATTCAGGAATAAATTCCTGCAAAAATCGGAGCAAAAACAAAATTTCCGTATTAGATTGAATTTTTGTTTCTGACATTAATTGTTTGACTAAAATATTTTCTATTCATGCAAAATAAGTACGCGAGGCAATGTAAGGATATGTTACAATTTAGGTAATTTTTAACATTTTCTATATAGTAGAACGTATCTAACACTTAATTTAAAAAAAAAAAAAACCTTTTCTACTTTATATAAATTTCATTTTACATATATTTTTTAACAACTTAAGTAAAGTTCTGCATCCGCCAATTTGAACAGCCATACATCAAAAAATAACGAAGTTACTTTATTGGCGCATTGCTATGAAAAAGTTACTTTTTAACAGTGAGATTTGGCTAACTTTCAATTTTTTACTTAAACCGGTGGTGAACACTCAAAAAACGGCCCCAAGAGGGGCATAACATGAATGAAAAAACGGAATAGATTTGAAGTCAAGCGGAGTAGAAGACTTGATTTCAAATTTTTTTAAAAACCGGAGTAAATTTAATCTGATTTTAGCTGAGTCCAAACACTAGTAGGGAACGAATTCTTTACATTTTAACGCTAATGACCCACAGATGGCGGGAAAACACAGGGTTGTATCAGACTCTCGACGTGGTTTCGAGTTGGTTAGCTTTTAACCATCTCAGTGAAATGGTTAAGTGCTGTCATTTTTATATGGCGAAACTACGCCTAATCAAGCGGGTTATCGGGATAACCAACTCAGTAGCCATAACTACGTGGTTAGCTCCGGTGGGGACATGGTATTACATATTAATTTTAAGGCTGAATGAACTGCAAAACGATTGTATTTAATTAATGGTTTGTTGTCATCAGCGGAAGATACCACTATGTATTTAAGATTTTTTGTTTCGATTTATGGAAGGTTAGGGAAAGTCTCAATGCTTTTTTTAATTTTTTTTCGTTTTGGTTGGGGATCAGAGGCCAGTGGGGCAAATCTGTTGTCCCAAGATTGGGGGGCCCGGGGGGGCGCCGCGTCTTATGCACCACAGTAAAATTTGTGTATTTATTTTTGTACTACGAAGTACTAAAATTTAGTTAACAGCTCAATTCAGAGACGAAGAGGGCGAAACGCTTAATGCACAACTAGAAGTCGTAAACTGAGCTCGGGGCGAAATGACAGCGATAAACACGTCTGCTCGACACGAGTGATAGTCGGTGACTGTTTTATAAACATATTTTTTGATTTGCTTAGAAAGTCCTCACAAAAATTTAGCTGTCCCTTTGAAGCGCTTTAGGAGTAATTGTATTTTGTTTACATTATCTGATTGGCAAATAAAAAATATAAAAATACAAAAGTGAAACGATGAATCTCCAAATTTTCAATTTGCTATGAAACCCCTATGTTGTCCAAGGTCAACTTGTACAATATTTTTCTGTTACTATTATTTATTTCATATCACAGTGGATAAAACAATTTTTCGCAGGGGTCGGTAAATTTACAGCGTGGCGACGAATAACTGTTACCCAGGTTTTTTTGAGAAATAGAAGAGTCCTTTATAGATTTTGCGAAAAAAGTATGTTATTGTTAATTTTCCACAGATTTTACTTTAGTTGTATTAATTAGTTTTTAAATTTTAATCCTTATTTACATTTGCCAGCAGTGTAAACTTTGAGAGAAAAGTTCATTTGGCACGCAGGTCCTCGTCAGTTAATTTGTTCCATATCTTCTGTAACCATAGGCTAGTTTTCTCCATTTTGAGTCCCTTATACTCCCCCTTCTGTCCAAAATAAGGCCTTATACTCAAAAATCTAATAGACTCGGGACTGGTGACTAGGACGGCCATTCATTCGACCAACCTTATACAGTTTTTTTCTTTTTTGTACTTTTTTATACAAAGCCTAAGAAAAACTACACCTGAAAAAGACTTGCGTGCCAAATGAACTTTTCCCTCAAAGTTTACACTGCTGGCAAATGTAGATAAGGATTAAAATTTAAAAACTAACTAATACAACTAAAGTAAAATCTGTGGAAAATTAACAATAAAATACTTTTTTCGCAAAATTTATAAAGGCCCCTTTTATTTCTCAAAAAAAACTGGGTAACAGTTATTCGTCGCCACGCTGTATATTTTCATTAATGCTGTTATTTTTGCTTAAATGGTTTTAAACCATCATATAATATTAATTTCCCACACCTCAAATCAATTGTATTAGTTAATTATTTTTGTATAGCTAAATCGTCACTTTTTCCTTATGTGCTTCGTGGTACTAAATATGTAAACAATGAGTCGCGTGTTGTTTTCGAACAAATCGATAGCTGTTTGATTTTTTTTATTATTCCATTAAGTTTGAATGTATTGTATATGTACATGTGCGCACGTACTTGTATTTACCGAGATGCAAATTTAAATATTTTCCATTTATAGGAGAACCAGGTTGAAGAACTGAAATATTAAATTCATTATGGCAACAGGTATTGATGAGAGATTACATTTTAGGTGCATATATGTGTACATATATATAGGGTTGCTACTTTGGTAAATTATTACCAAATTTGGTAGACAAAATTTGGGTTAGTAAAAAGGTAAACTTAGTTTCATTTTGGTAGATTTTTGTTAAAGTATTTTGTTTGAATACAAATAAAACTTTTTATTTCCGCTTTATTATTCTTAGTTATTGTTTTGTTATAAAAGTTTAGCCTACCTTATTGCATTAATTTGCGTTATTGCACTAAAGCGCGCACACTTTATATATGTATACATAAAAACATATGTTTGTACATTTAAAGTGGTCCAATTTTTGTATTCGCAAAAAAATTTGCTTACAAGAAAACCGGGCACTCCCTTAGTTTTTTCCTTTTAATATTTGTAATATATAAACCAACTTTCAGTTTTCTACTGCAACCAATACAGGGTGCTCAATGACCTGGAAATACGCTACGCTTGGATCGCTATGAAACTGGTGATTTTTTTAAAAAGATACTGTTGCCATGACAATTGAAGCTTGTGATATTTTTTAGATAATTTAAATTTGAAAGGTTTTTAGGTTGCTTAACCAATTGTTGGATTAATATATGTACACACTACATCTAGAGTACAATATGAGCATCCTCTAAATTTATATTTAGAAACATAAGGTGCTGGTACCAAAGAGGAAAAATTTTGGAAGGTGCCCCAAACCCTATCTTGGAAATTTTTTTGTTTGGACCTTTCAAATGTACATATATCAATTAAAGGCGAACATATCCTGCTCCATTCAAAAATTTCGGTTGCCAAAATATTTTAAATGATTATTTAGATAAAATGAAAACTGGGCAAGTACGTAATTAAACAAAGAAATTTTAAATCAATGGGAATTTTTTGCTTCCACATTGTTGGTTATACTTAAGTTCAATAGGCTATAAAACTGTAAACTCAAAACTTTTATAAAAATTCAGAGTAAAAATTTCGAAAATTTTCCGAAAATTTGTTGAATTATTGCAAATGTTGTACATACATATATAGCTTGGATTCTTGATTTTTACGGGTTTGGTTAAAGCACAAACAATATTCTTATGCATACAAAAGTAGCAAAAATGTTTACTTGAAAAACATTATAAATATTGGTCAATGTTATTGTGGCTTGTTAACATTTTATTTTTTATATTTTTATTGAGCTTTGTACCACGATTGTTTATTAGGAAAAATTG